CAATCATATCATAATTATTAATCATTACCTTATTCAGTAACTAATAGCTGGCGGGCTTTGACAAACACCAGCAAGACAGGCAAGGTAGGAGCAGTCAGCGTTGCCAACCGGGGGAATTTTTCCCCATTTTTTGGGAATCTGGGGAATTTCAAACCCAATGGGGAATGGGGAATTCCCCGGGGAATTACATGAAAATTGGGGTATTTCTGGGGAATTTAAAATTTTTTGATATATTTTGTAATTTGTTTTAAAAACCAATAAAATTCCGTAAATGTCATCAAATTTTGGTCATAAATTACTTTACACTACAAGCTGGCCACTCTGTGAGTGTGATCGTACACTTTGTGATTGTGAGTCAGGCATTACTCATTTTCAGTAGCCAGACAGTAGTGTGTCTGTGTCAGCAAGTGATTGTGAAATCCCGTGTCAGTTCTGAGGTCCAGCACTCGGCACTCAGCAGTCAGTCAATTCTGTCTGCTGTCTGTGTGTGTGTGTGTCACTGCAGTATTATAGTTATAATGTGAATCGGAATATGGCTCTGATTTAGTTTATTTAGTAAATTCTTTAATAATTTAATAGCATTTTTCTCACATTTACGTTACACAGTACATACTGTATACAATGGACAGTATACACAACACAGTTAGGCATTGCCATTTTTAATTTTACACACAGTTAAAAAAGACAAGTTATTACTTCTCAATTTGTATTTTTAATGCATTTTGGGTCTGTCCTAGTGAACGATTTTTGGAGCCCCCCCCCCCTCCTATCAATTTTGTACATGTCCAAATTATTATTTATTTAGCATTATTTAGGGTTAGGTTAGGTTAAGACACTTTCTGGGCCGAGCACTGCGGCTAGGATAGGCTAGGGGCCAAGCACTGCGGCCACAGGTTAGCTAAGTAAACCCTAATGCTAAATAAATACTATTTTGGTCATGTACAAAATTGATATGGGGACTGGGGGGGGGTGTCCAAAAATCGTTCATTAGGAATATACCTGCATTTTATACGTCAACAATATTAATAAGAAAAAAGCATTAGTTTTATTCTTTTTCAGATACGAAATGGAGGCAATGGAGACACATAAACGTAAGGCCTCATCTCCTGTGCGTTTCAATAAAAAGAAGGTTGAGTCTATGGTGTCAAGGGTATATCAAGCCAGCTGGGAGAAAACATTTCTCTGGGTGAAACCTAAAGAAGGTAAATACTAAATGTAGGGGTGCATGAAGGGGAGGGGGGGAGTTTAATATGTATGAGTGTTACTGTTGAATAATTGATGATAATGTTTTCCTCTTTATTTGGAGCTATGGGTTGACATTTTTTTATTTTTTTTTTTTGCAGGTAACATACATCTTGCCAGATGCACGTACTGCAATACTACACTAGCAGCCCACAAGAGTGGTCTTGAAAAACATCAGGAATGTTTATTAATACAAAGAAGGTTTTGATTAAAATGTCAGCAAGGTCTTAATTACTTATTGTGTGCTAAACAATATATTTTTACAGCTTTATTATTAATAAACATTTAAATAGGTTGGAGCTAAACATAAAGGAAATATTCCTAAGAACTGTCAGCCCAAGATAGGGCAATTACTTGGCACAAACGCCGTTGCAGACAAGGTTTTTTATCATTACTCAAAGGGTGCTTTTCCCTAATTATTTATACTTAACACTGATTTCAAATTTACAAAATAAAATGATAAAAAAATGGATAAATCAGATAAAGATGGCTGAAATCAGATGGAGCATCCAGGTTGGAGTTCATCACTCCATAAGAATTGTTGACCATCAGTCGATTATCTTGAAAGAGGAGGGGAAGGGGAGCATTCTGGAGGATATTAAACTTAAAAGGAAAGATTCTTATCAAAGAAAATAATTGGAAGAAATTCATCTTTCATGTTATTACATTCTCTGTAAATGTTTCTTGCTAAGAAATTTCAATGATTTAGGACTAAGACTACTAAAATTCTAACAAGTGTTGTTTCTCCTGCCTTGAACGATAGTTTAAAGGAAAAGCTGATGGGAAAGGACTTTGCCATTTTAATTGACGAATCCACTGATGTGGCGTGTAAGAAGATTTTAGCAGTTTGTGTCAGGTAAATAAAACTAAAATTCTAAAACACAGTTGCAGGAAATCTTTATCTTTGTAATTTGAATTTCTTTGACTAAATGATGGAATTTTATTAAATTCAATGTTATGATAAATAAAATATATGAACCCATTCTGAACATGTAATTTGTTTTAGATATTACAGCGAAGAACTGGGCCAAGTAGTTGATGAATATCTAGGGATCGTTGAAGTGGTTAAAACTACAGGAGAGGAACTTTTTAATGCTCTTCAAGAGTTTCTGCAGAAAAGTTTCAACCTCAGCTTCAATAATTGTCTAGCCTTTGCTTCTGATGGAGCAAACAATGTGGCAGGTATATTGTTAATTGTATTTCACTAGCATTTTTTCACAATTTTTATTCTTTTATTTAATTTTTTTTACAAAATTAGAAAATGAAGCAGTCTACATGTAAATTTTACAATTCTCATGTTAAAAATTTTAATATTAGTTTATATTCTCATGTTAAAAAATTTTAATATTAGTTTATTTATAAATCCAAGTGTATTTAAAAAGAACTAAAGTTAGATTATTTCTTACAGGCAAGAATAACTCAGTTTGGTCCAGAGTCAGGAAATACAAAATATAAAATATCTGGATGTAGAAAAATGAAAACATTTACTTGCAATTTTTTTCCAGCAAAAACTATCAACATGTAAAAAATTTTATGAGAGTCCTAGAACATATTTTGGTTTTAAGAGAGGTTAATCCTTCATGCCGACAGGTTAAGTGTGTAATGCACAGCTTAGCCCTGTGTATTGAGCATGCATTTGAGAAAGTTCCAAGTAGTGTCAGTACGTTAATGTGCAGGATTCCTGCACACTTCAGTCAGTCCTCTCTAAGAAGAGAAAATTACCTGGAAGTTTCATCCAACTACAAAGAGGAATGACTTAATCAACTTTAATCTTTAATCAGAATAATTAAAAAGGAATTAGAATACTTTATTAGAATATTAAAGATAAAGTTAAAACCTAAATAGCTTGCTGGTGAAATGGATAACTGTGTTGAGGAGATGGGACTATCGGAAGATGCTTTGCCAAATCCTTTTATGAAGTTCAGCAAGACAAGGGACATTTAAGAATGTTATATTTTAATACTTTTTAAAGAATCAGAAAAATTTACATACCTCTGAAATAAAACAAATACAACATTCTAAATATCTTGTAGGTTTCTTGTCAAGGGTAGAGTATTGAAAAGAATCTACAAAAACAGATCAGCCCTTCTGAAGTACTTCGAAGAATTTGAAAAGAATGCTTCGACCATGCAGCGGCATGAGGTCAGGACCCTTATAAACATGCTAAGAGATGATGCCCTATTCCTGTTGATAGGATTTCTTTATCCTGTTATTGAGGAGTATGAGTCCCTTAATGCAAAGTTTCAGACTGAAACTACAGATCTTTACTTCTTAGAAGACAATCTAAACCTGCTGTACTCAAGCATATGGCGTCGGGCATACGAGAAGGATCATAAGGGGCAGGAAAAGAAGCTTCATGTGTCTAGGATAGACCTGGGTGCCCAGTTTAAATCCAGAAGCTCTGAATTGATCAAGTCAAAGAAGATGACTGAGGAACAGCTCCGATATATCCTGGAGAAAGGAGCTGAGTTCCTCTATGAATTAATTGAACAGACAAAAATTAGAATGCCGGAGACTCGAGTGTCCCTAGCAGCATATTCCAAGATGCTCCCTAAGAATATTGTAAACTCATCATCAAAGCCCACTTTCGATCAACTTCCCTATAAAGAGTTCATTCCTGAAGGTGATTATGAGAAGGTTGAGGATCAACTCAGGAAAATTGATCTCATAGAGTGGGGTGAGGAGGATGAGATTAATCCAAACTCTATGAACCCTGTTCAGTTCTGGGTAGCTTTGAGGGAATATGAAAGAGGGGGAGAAAAGGTTTTTAAAGACCTGGCTGTTCATGCTCTCAAGATATATACTATACCTTGCTCCACTGCATTTGTGGAGAGAGTTTTCTCAATAGTTACTTATCTTAAAACTAGACTACGAAACCGGATAAAATCCCCATTACTTGATTCTTTACTTGTTCTTAAATGCCACCTGCAGGCAATTAATTATTTATATAGATGCTTGTTTTCTTTCAGGGGCTAAATGTTATTAGTATCGGGGATGTGTGTAAAATAAAACTTGGAATTATCTAAATTGTTGATTGCCTGCAGGCCCGCCATATTTGCTGTTATCAGCTAAAAATTACAAAACCTATGTTAGACAGGTTTAATGTAAGTATGTATGGGACAGGACAGGGGAGACACGTAGGACAGGGCATACAGGAAGAAGAATTAGGTCCGAAAGGACTGGCAGTAGAGGACAGGCAGGAAGGACTGGAAGGTCAGGGATGGCAGGGAGGACAGGGGGGACTTATATTTGATGAGGATGAGGAAGTCCTCCTAAGAATTGTTGACTATTTTTTTTAAATATTTTGTAATACATGCACATATGTATAAATATGTATTATTTGTTTAATTTCAGAAATAAATGATTGTGATCTAACTGGAATCTGATATAGATAAATCAATATCAAGGTATTTTTCCTAAAAAATACTTAATTTTAAGGGATTTTTAAAATTTGTTTTTCTTTAAAAGGGCTTATTTATCATGTACTCAGTACCATGAAGGTGGGGAATTTTTGGTTAATTTTGGGAATTTTTAGGACTGAGATTGGGAATTGTCTTATCCAGGAGTTGGCAACGCTGGTCTAAAAGCCGGCTTGTAAACAGTTTACTTTAGTTCAATCAGATGTCCAATAGTATCAATCAGATATTAGTCCAATCGTATCTGTATTTGTTATTAAACGTATCTTTATTGCATTTGCATGTAGTAGGAAATGTGATATCCAACAAGAGCGGATTAAAAAGAAAATTAGAAGTTTCCACAATGAATATTCAGATTAAGCGATCAGGATTAAGGGTATCCAATTCTAAAATTTCAGCTCTGTTCCCACAATTATGAAGTCTTTAAGTTTTTAGCTTATGAATTGTTTACATTTTCCGCCAGAGAAACACTTTTTTATGTTTAAACTTCTCAAATTTTTGTTGAGCCTTAGTAACCGCAAAAAGTTTAGATGTTTAAAACCAAGGATTTAATGCAAGGAAAGTTATTTCAGAGGTGTACTCATCTTTTGTACTGCAGTGTACTGTCACTGGGCGGTAATGTAAACACAAGACGGATGTCGAAGCCTGACATGGGATCCATCTTTCACATAAATAATCAATGAAATATTCTGGTCATAGGAAACTATTATGTAAATTATCAAAGTTATCAAAATTCAATGCTTTTAACCTCCTCGGATACTAAACGAACACTGAGGCATCTTTTCTTGTTTAAAAATTCCGCCCAAGAACTGGTTTCAATATGTACGCAGAGTATACGCTACTGCAATTAACTTTCCTTGCATTACATTCTTGTTTAAAACCATGCACGACGCCCGGCCCTGTGTAGTGTGTACAACACTAGACACAATGGATTGTTTTAAGCCTTTTTTGATTCATTAATATACTTCTACTGGACAATAATCAGGTTCTTCTTTATCAAGAATTGAAGGTAAAACATAAAAACTACAGTGCAGTGCAGACCGTTATTTTTCAGTCTTTTATTGTTGCGGAAATAAGATTGAATCTTACATTATTTTCAAGCCTAAGCTTATCCCCAAAGACCAAATTTCGTAGAACTTTTCACAATACGCGATGTAAAATATTACGCACTTTGTTTGCTGATATTTTTTTATTTCAAAGTTAAAGTAAAATTAGACTCAATTGTGTAATATTTGGTTCAATTTACTAAATTTGGTTTAAAGTAAGAAATTTTTGCGTAAATTTTACATAATCATTTACGTAAAAGTTTGTCGTTAAATGTGGTATGATTTTACATAATTTGGTGAATATGGATTATTTACATTAAAGCAAAGTGGCAATTTAATATTTTCTTCTACAAATTTGAAAATAAAACTTTAAAAATAAACATATCCTTTCCATTTTACAATTTTCAGTTTCTTAACAATAATTCTTTTGCATAATAATCATATTGCAGCAATAAATCATGTTCTTTCTTATATTTAAAGTTCATTGATTGATTGATGCTATTGAACAACAACATCAAGACAGGATTTAACTTGTCCCTGATTATCACACTCTTCTTTTGTTAAATCACACAAAAGAAAATCATTAAGTTCATCACAGGTATTAAATATATCATCCTGAGGTATCACTTCCTCCTCTCTGTTCTCCAACCTAAAGAATCGCGGCATGGGCACAGAACCGGTTTGAGCCCACCTGCTTGGCTCCCCCAGGGCCAGGAAAGATGGCGGAGCGGGATCAGCTGTTTTAGGATTTAGCGGATTCCTGGCCCTAAGCGTGGATCAGAAGCTTGTATTATACTGGGTAAGGCCCATGTCAGTAGAACTTGAAGCTGCATTATTTGTCATGTTTACAACATCTGCTTTTAAACCTGTGGATTCCTGAATTAGAAAAACGGTTTTTAAAGATTGTAAGCTGAAGCATAATTTCAGGTGGCCCTCCATTACAAAAAGGAAAATGCCCGATTCACAACGATACCCTAGAAAGCTTTGTCTGATCAAGTATGAATTACTTATCCGTGTATATAATTTGGAAAACTGATTATTTTCAATTGTGGTTTCTCTACAAAAGTGACTAGCGCATTTCTACTACATGAAAAAAGTACAGAAATGAACGGAATTCGAAACTTTTAAAACAAGAAAGACTACATCTTCCACATTATTAATCAGATAAGCGTTTCAAGGACACCATTGTGAGCCGGGCATTGCCATCTTTGCAGATGAGTCACTTGAAATTACGCTTACAGTCCCTTTAAAGAGAGTGTTCATTATTCATGAAATATGAAAGAGTTTGCTTTACATAAAGAATACATAAAGTCAATTTTTCCTTTAACTATCGAAAAATCAAAGTTACATTTAAGTTCAGTAAACAAAAATAGATATAGTGAAACCCAATTAATAACGAATACATCGGAAGAATTTATCAAATGTCGTCTTGACAATTTTTCAATGAGTTTTATACTATATTATGTAAATTTCAGTATTTGCACAAATAAATAAATATCCATTAATATGCGGGAACAGTTTTAAAGAGTTCCATATAATCATTTAATTAAAAAACTAAATATCTGCAATATTCCATTATCAGAAAGTGAAGAATACAAAATTTGATGAATTCTTTCGATGTATTCGTTATTAAGGGTTTCACTGTAGAAGAAAAATTTATGATTTTGGATAAGTAATTAAATTATTGAACTCTACGAAAATAACTTACCTTCCCTCCTTCTAGAGATCCTCTAGATCGTTTAACCAATTGGTTGGTTGAGTTCTTATGATTAAATGTCGTCTTATCTAGACCAGTCCAATGGTTATCATAGCCCTCACATCCACCATCCTCTCCTTCATATAGTTTTAATCAATTTGAAAAATTGGATTGTCAGAAAAGTTTTATACCCTAACCCGACCCTTTTCGAGAACAAAGAAATAATTATATTCAACAAAAATAGCTTATTTGGAAGCAAGCGTTAGAAGACCACGAGTAAGCAAGTTTTTTTGTTGACTGATTGGCGGCAATTAAACTTTTGCTGCCAAATAGGCGGGTTTTTGATTTCGTAATTAACGGCAGTCGTTTTTTTACCGGGAATTTTGGTAAAGGTTTAATTGTAACGATGTGAACTATATTTTACCCTTTTAACCGAAGAAGAAACGCTAAAAATTGAATTTACAATTTTCTGTAAGATAAAATAATCTAATTGATTTTTTAGAAGATATGCAAGAACAAAAATGTGTTTCTTGTCGAAGCCCGAAACTTTAGATTTTACAAACCCTTAATTGAAAACCTGATTTCGTATTTCTTGAGTCGGGTTCTAAACATTTCTTAATTTTTCTAGAATATTCCGCCTCGAGTTTTTGTTCATTTACAATTTTGTAGGCCTCATTTTACCCATTATGACATGTTTTCAAAAAAAAAATTGAATTTTATATTCAACGTTTGAAATTTGTTGACGGTTTGTCAACATTACTTTGTGTGTTAAGAAATTAAAATAAGCAAGAATGTAGTGCAAGGAAAGTTAATTACAGTTGCATATACTCTGCGTACATATTGAAACCAGTTCTCACTGGGCGGAATTTGTAAACAAGAATGGGTGCATGAGTGCAGCGTTGCCAACTGGGGGAATTTTTCCCCATTTTTTGGAAATCTGGGGAATTTCTACACCAATTGGGAATGGGGAATTCCCCGGGGAATTGAATGAAATTTGGGGTATTTCTGGGGAATTTAAAACTTTTTGATATATTTTGTAAATTGTTATGAAAATGACTAAAATTCATAACAATCTTTGTCATGAATTTTTTTTCGACAAAGATGTATTGATGAATTAAATCGACTCTAATTCAGATCAATCATTTTCAGGGAAAATTTCCCCAAAATAGGGCTTTTTAAATATTGAAAATGCATATTATTAAGTTGTTTTTAATAGTTGATATCAATTTCAAGTGCTTTTTACTGTGTTTTCAGTATACCATAAATATGGGGAATTTTAAGTTGATTTTGGGAATTTTGAAGACAGAAATTGGGAATTATCTTTCCTCGGAGTTGGCAACGCTGCATGAGTGTTCGTTTAGTATCCGAGGAGGTTAAAAGCATTGAATTTTGATAATTTTGATAATTCACATAATAGTTTCCTATGACCAGAATATTTCATTGATTATTTATGTGAAAGATGGATCCCATGTCAGGCTTCGACATCCGTTTTGTGTTTACATTACCGCCCAGTGACAGTACACTGCAGTACAAAAGATGCGTACACCTCTGAAATAACTTTCCTTGCATTAAATCATTTAAATAAAGTAAGTATGTTCTGAATACAACTGTTCACTAAAAAATATTTGTTTATAATTCAAGGATTTGAAAACAATTATGAAACTGAAAAATTTATAAAGTTATAATAATTCACAAGATGAAAGCTATAGAGTTGCAAAGTTGAAAAAGCATTAAAATGTAAAAAAATACTTTCCGTACAATTTTAAAAATTATACAGGATAAGTTTTCGAGCTTCGTGGATTTAGGAAAACAAAAGAAAAATACTCAATAAAAAGGTGGTCACTTTTGAACTGTTAGTCCCTGTTAAAGGATTTCGCACTTAATCGCTTCAATTTAAAGGTTTCCGTTCTGGATTTTGACCTCAGGCGCTTTCTCATTCAAAAGTTCCAACCTAATTACATATACGACTCATTTCGACAATTCAAAATTTAAAGAATAAGCTTTTTCTAAAGCCCCATCTTTAAGTGTTTAACCCTGTGCAATAGAAGAGCTAAAAAAATTAACAGAAAAAGAACATAAAATAATTTAGGTTACTAAAGTGCATGCCGTATTTTACATTATCATGTACAATTAAGCATAATAATGAGACTTCAATGACGTATTTTACATTATCATGTACAATTAAGCATAATGATGAGACTTCAATGACGTATTTTACATTATCATGTACAATTAAGCATAATGATGAGACTTCAATGGCGACTTTAGAAAAAAAATTATTCACGATTTCTTGCAACTTTAAACTTGTTTCTTTCTGAGCTAAATCATTCAATAAGCCTTTCAAGCATCATGTCAGTTTCAGGTCGTCTTTATAGCCTCATCCTTTGTGGGTAACCCTGTATGTTCACTTCTATGTATTATACAATATTGATTTCTGCATAATTAAATATGAATATAACATAAATAATTTCGATGGGGAAAAATATGCAATGGATTTGGAATTTGGAATATGCATAAGTTCAAATCGTCATGCAATGTGAAAATGTATACCGATACCGTTAACCCTAATAATAGGGATAGTGCCTCGGATTTCATCTAAAAATTAAAATTTTGACAAATATTGTTTGACATATTAATTTATTCCCAAAGGCTCCTTTTCTCTTTTTTCCATGTATTATATTAACAAATATAGCAAATTATATAGACTTTTGAGTTTTGATAAGTTACTTCAATTCTAAAAAAAGTATTTCTATAGCGAAATGCATATTCAAATACTGCATTTTCATACAGTGAAACCCTTAATAACGAATACATCGGAAGAATTTATCAAATGTCGTCTTGACAATTTTTCAATGAGTTTTATACTACATTACGTAAATTTCAGTATTTGCGAAAATAATTAAATAGCCATGAATATGTGGGAACAGTTTAACCCTATCTCTGCTGGGGTACTTAAAAACCAGAATATGCTGGGGGGGGGGTCAATTTGACCCCCCCCTCTAAATCCCATGTTTGATGTTCAAATGTGACAAATGATACATCATTGGAAAGCTCTTGTGCTCTACTTTTAGAATCTGCAAAGCAATTTGAAAATTTGCAAAAATTGAATTTTTTATCGCAAAATCCAGTTATATAGTTAAAATGTTTGCAAAAAAAAATTTGTCCAAAAAATGAAAAATTATACATTTTTGAAAAGCCCTTGACCATGCCATTTCAAATATGCAAATATTTTTGCAAAATTTTAAATCACCTAATTTTTAATCAAGAAAAACTAAAAATGTGCAAATTTCCTTTGACAGGTTGTTTGCAAAAAATTTGCAATTTTTTTCGCAAAACTTGTGCAATTCGATCCTTATGTCAAAGGCTTTCCAAAAAACTAAATTTTATCAAAATCTGACAAGTGGAAGTGGGTCAAAACAAAGATTTAGTTTGTTAGGAAAAAGCAGCCATTCAGGCAGTGTGCCTGAGGAATCAGGCAGTTAGTATTAAAGCCCGGTTTTAGGTCTAAAGGGAGGGCTTTGGGTATGTAGGAAAAGTCAAAAAATTTCAACAGCCTCAGACCAATACTTTTTGAGTTATGTAAAAAAAACTACAGGGGGGGTCAAATTGACCCCCCCCCCCAGCAGGAATAGGGTTAAAAGAGTTCCATATAATCATTTAATTAAAAAACTAAATATCTGCAACATTCCATTACAAGAAAGTGAAGAATACGACATTTGATGAATTCTTTCGATGTATTCGCTATTAAGGGTTTCACTGTAGGTGGGATTAAAACTTAAATAAACTGACACCTCTTCTTACCTCTTAAAAAGTCTTATATATATATATATATATGATTAAGCTTTTCGCTATATATCTATTTTAGCTATAGCTAAACGACTGGACCAAATGGGCTGATATTTTTTTGAGGAAACCCATAGGTATCTTGGAGGTAGCATAGGCTAAATGAAATTCGAATTCATTTTTTCAAACATTTTTATTTTTTTCTTAAGAATTCCACGGGCAACGCCGGGCACTTTAGCTAGTCTATATAATAAAGCTCTTCACCGTTCATATATCTATTTACATGTTAGCTATCAGCTGGGCAAACGGCTGGACCAAATTGGCTGAATTTTTTTTTATCGAACTCATGGTTACTCCGTGGGTAACATAAACTAAAAAAATTAAATTTGTTTCAAGATAAAACAATTTAAAAAGGTTTTTTCTTAAATTTTTTTAAATACCACGGGTAAAATGCCGGACACTTCAGCTAGTTTTTATAATTACGATAATGCAGACAGAGAGAAATGTTTAAGATGTTCAGTAGACTATACGATAGTCAGCATTGTGCACATTCATAAATATCAGAATACGTTAAGAGTTGTCATGTTATACAATATGATGTACATTTACAATATAATATCATGTAAAACAAGAAAAAAAATAACATGAACCTTTTCCTTTTTGGACAAATAAATCTTTATATTAATTTGGATTGTCTGTTTCTTTCGTTTTTGTAAAATACGATCGGTTCCGAACTTTTTTTTTGGTAACTCACAAAACCTAGCTGCAGTGCAGGCCCAGGGTAGGTTTATGACCGGTTGAAATTTAAAACTTTTGCTTGAAAAAATGTAGAAAACATAATTTTTTGAAGAAAAATCTGCAAAAAATTTTGTTTATTAGAGTACGATGTGAAAAAGCAAAATAATATTTCTTAACAAAATAAAACTACAAAATTATCGTACTCCATTCATTAATCACGGTTTCCAATATCAGGTTTTATAACGAAACCTAAACTTAAATTTCGAAATTTCAGTAAAATTTGTATGATACTTGGAAAATCCCGCCGGCCCCGCCCCCCCCCCCCTTTTGGCTAAGCTTCCTCTTTTAATCAAGTGCAGTTTACAAGCGTTTAATGAGCGTTTTGTATAACCTAATTAAACAATACATCTTACTAAGTGTTTTATAAAGCAACAACATATAAAAATTGAATCAATTTAGCAATGGTTTTTATATAGTTTCTACATGAGTATATTTTGATCAAACAAATTTTGGAGGTTTAGTGAAACTAAACTTTTAAACTTACCTTGATCTTGTGGATCAGATATGGAAAACGTCGCGGGTTTCTGAAAACCGGTTTTCTTAAAATCCTGCCAGCCCGCCATTTTCTTTTTCTTCATAATCTGGTTTTTGATCTTTGCTTTCTCGTAGAGTTTGTTAAATGTGTTAACTATTATAGGTATTGGGAGAGAGATTATCAAAACTCCACTGATAGCACAGCAGGCACCAACTAGCTTGCCAAACCAAGTCTTTTTAACAAATAAATTCATAAATATAAAAAATATGTGTATTTAGATAGTGGTAACCAAAAAACAGTGGAATGATTGTCGTCTTTGTAATTTCTTTCGATTAAACAATGTAGTTTGCAATTTTAATAAAACTATGATATATATGTAAATAACCAGGTTTAGGACACAATGCTAGACATATTTCTGCTATAAATTACGAATTCTTATCAAAGTTTCGCAATGAAAAATACTTTAATTTGAAAAAAAAATTAAATTTATTTAGCCTTTGTTACCCTGGGATAACAAATTTCTGTCAATTTGGATTAGTCGTTTGGTCAGCTATATATATTTATATGAGCTTGATTACATAGATTTACTGCTTTTTGTATCCAGTCTTCAGTTATAATGTAAACATTACAAAATAGGTTTGAAAAAAAGAATAAATAATATTGTTCTTGACTCTTGAGCTCTGAACAATCAACTGGGTTTCGTGTTAGGCAGAAATTACAAATTGAATTTTATACAAATACAAGGCCTTCACTCTGTTCAAAAGTTATTTGCTCAAGAACATAAAAAATAAAGAGTTAAATTAAAAAAGAATTCGAAATTATCTAGCTGGTTTTATCAAAATTTTAATGTTTAAAGGATAATCAAGGCAAATTCCAGAACCCTTCAATTTAAAAGCGCATTTACGATTAAAAAAAAAAACAGAAAAATATTTACCTATTTTAGTCAGACAAAGGTGCCGTCAAGATTTAATTTGAAATTTGTGCAAATGTGAAAATTTTCAAATTTTAGGAACATGTTCAATGTTCAATTCACACCGGTACCTTTTATTCCATGGTCAGATGAATTATCTTTATTTCATTATTTTCAACCGTGGTTTCCCTGTTAAAGAAAATTTTGTTATGTTTCAGAAACATTGAAGAAAACTGTCAGAAATCAACAAGTTGAAAGATTGAAAAATTATTACTCATATAGAGGTATAAAGCAGGAATGGGGGTGGGGAGGGGAGGATTGCAAGCAAGGGGGATGAAAATTTAGGTGCGCCGGATTTCCCCCCTGGAAAATATCTTAACCCGCCCCTGATAGGGAGGGAGGGGGGGGGGGTGGACGGCTTTTAATATTATTTACAGTACTTTTAAACCTCTCTAATACACTCATATATCTTCTATATGTATAATCAAGCTCTTCGTTCATATATATATATTTGTATACTTGTATATATGTTAGCTATAGCTTGCTACCAGCTGGACTAAATTGGATGTATATATATGTATATGTATATATATATGTTCATAAATATATATATTTGTATACTTGTATATATGTTAGCTATAGCTGGCTACCAGCTGGACCAAATTGGATGTATATATATGTATACGTGTATATATGTATATGTTCATAAATATATATATTTGTATACTTGTATATATGTTAGCTATAGCTGGCCAATGGCCAAACAGCTGGACTGGACCAAATAGGATGACATTTATCGAGAAAACCCATGGGTAACATAGGCTAAAAAAATTGTTTTTTTCAATTTTGAATAATTTTTTTTAAAATTCAATTTTTTCTTTCAAAATTCAATTTTTTTTATTTCTTCGACTCTGACTTTATGAATTATATTCCTTAGGCGTGATATCTCCATACCCCACTGAGGTCATGGTAATGATCGCCCAGTACAAGGCTGCGGGCATAGAAATGAACTCGTCCGGGTTTGCGTCCTTCTCCACCACGAAGGTCAACCCGGAGAAGATCAACATTCCCATGATAACAACTGTTTAGGGTTTATACATCTTCATTAACTTGCTTCATATCAAATTAAAGTAACAAAGGAATTGAGTCCTTGTCAAAAAAAATCAGAAATGAGAACATTTTTTTCGATGCTTATTGCTCTTGAACAAGAGAAACTATGATTAAAAATATGTAATATTTTTATATAATGTCGAAGGAATTGAGTCTTTGCCAAAAACTCAGATTTTCTAATTCTTTTATCTGTTGAACCCAATGTCGTAGACCTTTGATATTTAAAAATATGAATTTGAAATATTAAAGGTTTACACCCTCAGCTTGCAAAGATATATGGATAAGAATTTTTCATTTTGTGGCAAAGAGCTAATTCCTTCCACGTTATATGGAAATATAATTGTGGAGTGTATGGTTACTTTTATTAGCTCTTCGAAGTTTAAATTTTTTGATAATTTTGCAGAAATAAATAGTTTTGCAACTTTAAGATACTTTTAACTTGGAATTTATAAGGAAAAAATTTCTAAAATTTCTTTAACATTTTTTTTTGTTTTTTTCTAAAGGAACTGAAAACTTGCTTCTAACACTAAATGTGTAATCCTTGTCAATAAGCTTAAAAGAAATGAAGGAAAAATTTATGTTAAATTGGTAAAAATGTGATCGAAAGTCAGAGTTTGCTGTGGTAAGGATCAACCTGTTAAATCTGCGTGGTCAAAGTCAAAGTTTGACAAATTAAGTAACAAAAGCAAAATTTTAAAACATAACATTTTGAAATATTACAAATTTCTCAGGATTTTGTGGAGCCTCTTAAAAACGAAGGAATTACTAAAAGAAGTTTTTGTCTTGTCAAAACTCAAAACAAAGCTCTCCTCAAAGAAAATGATCGTGGCCACCATCAAAATTTTCCAAATACAAAAGTTTGAATATTTGAAGTTTGTATATTCCTAGAGCAAGCAATCCAAGCTCTTTATATGATGCTTTCAGAGTTGCCCCCAGGGTTTGTAAACCAGTTATATGCCTTAATAATAATAATAATAATAATAATAATAATAATAATCATAATAATAATAATAATAATAATAATAATAATAATAATCATAATAATGTTACCTAATCTAAAAATTCTAAGAATTCTCATAATCCGGAAGACTTGAGCAATCCGTCTCATCTCATCCTAAACATTTTGTGTTTAGACCAAACATTCCGATTTTATTTTCCGAAAGTTACATATACAGGGTGTCGAAATAAAAATCTTTATAAGATGAAAGTTACTATAACCAGAAAGACAAGTATGATAAACCATTATAAAAAATTATTTTTGTTTAGTTATTAGTATTATATAGTTGATAATTTGTTCGAATACGTAAATTTGTGAAACCAGTTTTTAAGCAAAACTAAAAATACTTTCTTAACTTAACTAATTTCAATCGAAGTGTGACGTAGTTAAAATAAATATTTGAAAAATCTAACACTTCATACAAAATATCTTCACCAATTTACAAATTACGGAATCATTTTTTTCACCGTACTCCAACCAAAATTTTGCAGATTTTTAACATTGATGGATTTTTAAAAATTTTAATTTTAGATTTAGATATTTTTTAAATTCGTTCTAGTTAAGATAGTGTTTTGACAAAATCTGAACATGTAGATGTTATAAACGCATCATAAACAGACAAACAGACAAAAAGACAGACAAATAGACAGACAAATAGACAGACAAACAGACAGACAAATAGACAGACAAATAGACAGACAAACAGACAGACAAACCAATAAACAAGCAAAAAACTAAAAAATGAAGATCCACTGCAGGGTAGAATAAAAAGCAAGGCAAGCTATAACGACATAATCTTTAATTATAAAGATTCACTGCATAATTTGACATACTTGCAAACTTTTAATTGTCCAGTGTTTTTGCAGAGTTTAGGTGGTTAAGAATATTAAAATACTGCAATACTGTGAGTTATTTTTAGAAACCAGCAGACCACACCAAACATAGATAGATAGATAGATAGATAGATAGATAGGTAGCTAGATAAGATATATAGATAGATAGATAGATAGATAAGATAAGATAAGATACGATATATTTTATTGCTAACAATACATATGTTACAGGCAAAAAATGTGCAACTATTTATTGTTTAAATATATATGTACTTTAGCAATTAAAGGTGGGGATTTGCTTTCACATTTGGGGCATACTCCCAACCTAATTAATAAAATCTTAACATTTTGTGGGCTTAACAGTGTACGGTCTTAACATAGGTGTATCTGTGTATATTCTTTATAGTCTACAGGTTGTACAGCATACGGTATTTACAGTGTACAGACTTTAACAGTGTACGGTCTTAACATAGCTAGGTGTATCTGTGTATATTCTCGATAGTCTACAGGTTGTACAGCATACGGTATTGACAGTGTACGGTCTTTACCTGATATTCTCCTGAGCTCTTCATGTTTGAGAGTCCTAATGATACAAAATAAGGGACTATTCCTAGCAGATCAATTACATTCATCCCTTCCTTTATAAATCTCCATTTCTGAGGGGACGCAATAAACCTAAGTACATGGTTCTTAAATACTGGTTTTAAATCTGTTAACAAATGCTCAGATTTAGAATTACTATTATTTCTAATCCCTATATATATGCAACCTGATGGTGCAAACCGTGACCATTCAAATTTTTGCTACCAGAAATATCTGGAATATGAAGACGACTTTTAAACTCAAGTTATGACTTTAAATAGTCCGATGAACATGAGACGCAGTAATTGTGTAGTGTAAACAGAACCATTTCAATTAATAAGTGATTTAATAAGTTACTTATAGTAAAACTATTTGCTTTATAACACCATAAAATACACGTAAATATTGCTTTAATGTCGTCATCCTTTTCTACAGTTTTATGGTTCTCACTGCATATTATCTAGTAGAATTTGCAGTTTACAATATCAAAGCTTTACGACGTCAGGTTGCAAAGATTGACAAAATAAAAAATCAGATTTTATGACGTTATATCGGTATCATATCTTAAAGAATAAAGAGAACTTGCAGCTTGATTTTAAAACCTGAAGTGTTTATCAATTACGAAGCTGTAAGTTTACATTTATTACAATATGGAAAATGTTTTCTCTGAATTAGACCAAAGCGGAAAAGTGTTCGGTTGCATCTCTTTGTTTGATTTTCTTTTGTCCTAGTAAAAATTGTGCATTGCTTGATAAAAGACTTTTAAAAACACGCAATTTGGTATTTCGTGAAAATACTCAGATTTTTCTTAAAACCTTTTTGTTTTGGACGATTGTTAAAAAGATTTTTTTTTTAATTATTACAACTGCCTGTTAAAACCCATTACTGTTTAAATTTAAAATCCTTAAGGTTGAGAGGAAAGAACCTCTGGCGACACTTTAAAAATCGGCCCGGTTTCAATAGTTGACGCATTATTTTTGTAACGTGCGTAGATCACTACGTAAAATGAATAAAACCAGTATTTAAGAATTTCCTGATAACGTATTCTACAGTAAACCATGTTATAAAAATAGCTTCAGATATAGCAAAATCAGGATGCTCGTTGGTCTCGTTAGAGTCTGGATCAGTTACCTAGAGTACAGATGGATATTGTTTTTTATGTATTCCAGGCCAATTCGTATCAAGATTTAGTTCAAGAGACTTTATAATAAGAGACTAATGTATTATTCATAGAATTGCATCCTCAATTCACAACAGTGTCCTTTCCATTTTTATTTGTGCAACAAATAGAAAAATATTTGCCATTTTCTATCTAAAATTCTGTTGAAATCTTTAAACTTGTCCCTGACATGCATAAATCTACAAGTCTCTTTGAATGTCATCAATTTTAAGATAAAAAATAAGGAATCTCTTCAATATTTTTACTCAGCTAACATGGTTTAAAGGGTAGGATTGGTAATCAGGCAAGGAGGGTCTTTTAATTGAAATTAGGTCGCAGTTTCTTTAAATAATGTTATGATTTATAAACTCCACATTTACCTAAACTACCTGAACACTTTACCTGAACTATCTAAACTACCTGAATACATGAACTACCTAAACTACCTAAACTACCTGAACTACCTGAACTAATTGAAATACCTAAACTACCTGAACTACCTAATCTACTTGAGCTATCTAAACTACCTAAACTACCTGAACTACATGAACTACTTAAACTACCTGAACTACCTGAACTACCTGAACAACCTGAACTGCCTGAACTACCTGAACTACCTAAACTACCTAAACTACATGAACAACCTGAACTAACTGAACTACATGAACTACCTAAACTATCTAAACTACATGAACAACCTTAACTACCTGAACAATCTGAACTGCCTGAACTACCTGAACTACCTAAACTACCTGAACTACCTGAACTACCTGAACTACCTGAACTACCTAAACTACCTGAACTACCTGAACTAATTGAAATACCTAAACTACCTGAACTACCTAATCTACCTGAACTATCTAAACTACCAACATACCTGAACTAGCTAAACTATCTGAACTTTTTAAACAACTTGAATTACTTAAACTACCTGAACTACCTAAACTATCTGAACTACCTGAAGTACCTGAACTAACTAAACTACATGTACTACTTGAACTATCTAAACTACCTAAACTACCTGAACTACCTGAACTACTTAAACTACCTGAACTACCTGAACTACCTGAGCTACCTGAACTACCTGAACAACCTGAACTGCCTGAACTACCTGAACTACCTAAACTACCTAAACTACATGAAAAACCTGAACTAACTGAACTACCTGAACTACCTAAACTATCTAAACTACATGAAAAACCTGAACTACCTGAACAATCTAAACTGCCTGAACTACCTGAACTACCTAAACTACCTGAACTACCTAATCTATCTGAACTACCTGAAGTACCTGAACTACTTGAACTACCTGAACTACCTGAACTACCTAAACTACCTGAACTACCTGAACTACCTGAACTACCTACACTACCTAAACTACCTGAACACTATACCTGAACTACCTGAACACTTTACCTGAACTACCTAAACTACCAACATACCTGAACTAACTAGACTATCTGAACTTTTTAAACAACTTGAATTACCTAAACTATCTGAACTATCTAAACTATCTGAACTACCTGAAGTACATGAACTACCTTAACTATCTAAACTACCGTAACTACCTGAACTACCTGAACACTATACCTGAACTAACTGAACACTTTACCTGAACTACCTAATCTACCTGAAGTACCTGAACTACTTGAACTACCTTAACTATCTAAACTACCTGAACTACCTAAACTACCTGAACTACCTAAACAACCTGAACTACCTAAACTAACTAAACTAACTAAACTACCTGAACTAGCTAAACTAGCTAAACTACCTAAACTACCTGAACTACCTAAACAACCTGAACTACCTAAACTACTAGAGCTGAAAACTTTTGTGTTGGATATCCAGAGAAAGAGTTTCTTAAATTGATATCCAGATTAAATATTGCTTGTTCTCCACATGAATTTAAACTCCAGATTAATTATTCGACGGGATATCTGGATATTTCATTCTAAAGTTTTCAGCTCTGAACTAACTAAACTACCTGAACTACCTAAACTACCTGAAATACCTAAACTACCTGAACTGTCTAAACAACTTGAACTATCTAAACTACCTGTACTCCCTAAACTAATTAAACTACCTGAACTACCTGAAGTAAAGTACCTGAAAGGCTGGTATGGTGCTAAGTATTAAGGCCAAAGTAGAAACTATCACAAATCCAATTGATATTACAGCAATCACCTAAATTATCAAAATTTAAAACATTAAAAACATTTTAATATAATAATAAAAAAAAAGAGTGATACAAAAATAATTTGCTCCGCTCCTCTGAGCAAAGTAATATTTTGGTGCTAAACTACAATTTAAAGCTTAAAGGAAATTCAAAATAGTTTCATTATTGAAATTATCTTTAAAGAGTCGACGTCATTTCAAATTAAAAAGTGCCATATCCGATTCACAACGTTACCATTATATATTTTAAACAACAATAATGGGGAAGATATTATCTTTTTTAATCTAGAAAAATGTTCAATTCTGTAAATTAGGTAAGTTTTCTCTGCTGTACAAAATCAGCAATTCACTTCTATAGAGAAACTCTAATTACAAATTATCCGTTTTATTTCGATAAACTAGGATATTTTCAGACAAAAGTGAAACGTGCCTGCCCTTCTACAATTGGAGTGTCTTCAGTCGACTTATTTTCAAATAGTAAGATGTCTGAGCAAAAATGATGCATTATCCTTGTTTTTCTATTTGAAAATTGATTATTTGAAATTTGGGTTCTTTTTGAAAATGCATATAGCTGGATAGAAACAAAAGGAAGACGATATTTTCCTTTGTCTTTATCTGAAAAAGGGCTAAAGTGTACCGTTGTGAACTGGGCTTGTACCGTTTTAAATTATATCAAAAGAACTTTTAACAAAAGAAAGAGTATAGATATTTTTTTTACTTTTTGAATGTCCTTAAATTTCACGGAAACAGACGAGGGCAATTTTCTAATGTAAAGCAAACAAAATAGGCATTTTAAAAAAGCTAAAAAAAAATTTATTTTTAAAAAAAATCCATGAAACGCTGCAATTTTACTTTTTGCTGTACTAAATACTAACTTTATTTTGTAAACAAAAACGAAGATTTGTGTACATTCTCTACACTCTACACTCTACACTCTACACTCTACACTCTACACTCTACACTCTACACTCTACACTCTACACTCTACACTCTACACTCTACACTCTACACTCTAAATTCTACACTCTACATTCTACACTCATACTCAGTGACCGTTTAATATATTCTGTTATTAATGATAAAACAAACACATGGAACTTTTTCCTTCTTATAAATTCCTGAATCATGCAAATACAAAATGTTGAAGCAAAGAACTCGATTGTGAATAATAAAGAGTTTTCCAAATTATATTTTATATATTGAGAATCCAGGGGAAGCAATCTCAATAAAAACTAGAAATCCTATTAGAGTCCAGTATTATGGTAGTATGGTGTTCTCTTTACTATTGCAGACATTTATTCTCACAGATATTACAGATCGGACAATTCATATTTTGTAGAGTAAACATAATTATAAAGTAAAATGGGACAGATATACATCAAGTTCCAGATTTTTTTTTGGATTATATATACTTATATATACATATATAAATGATCTACAAAACTTCTCATAGCAGTGCGCACGACCCACGTACAAATTATACAAATTGCCAAAGTAGTGTACGGTCTCAAAAATCTATAAAAACATATGATTTATGAAACTTTTGTCTTTTGATTTTAGTTGAAAAGATTTTTTTTTTCATTGGCAAAACTGTTTGAATGCATATTAACTTTCTTTTCTAAGGTTTAAGGTACTTCCCTTTTATAAGTGGCAAGAGTAATTTACAAGAGTTTCCTTCAATGCAATGTGGAGGCAATAGAAAATAATTGTTATTGTAAACAATAACAAAAACGCATAGAGTAAACAAGGCCCGTAGCTAGGGGGGCACAGGGGCACGTACCCCCCTGTCACAAAGGTGGGCCCCACTTTCTGAGACAAAAAAGAAGAAAATTAAAAATTAAAAGAATGTAACGAAAAATGAAAGAAAAAATAAAAAAGGGGAGACAAATTGTCCTAAAATCTAATTTTTGTTACCAATACTATGTGTAAAGAACTATTTTTTCTTCAAATTACAGAAAAATTTAGTGCTTTTTTGAAATAAAATATTTGGGAATTTTTATTTCTATCCTGTCTTGTGAAATCATAGGGTTTATATTATTTTTTTTAGTACTTTGAGAAACTTATCCTTTTCCCTTCTTTAATTATATTAATGATTCTGATGAACCATCGTATAGCAAAAACTAAAAATTAACATGGAGACAAATTTGAATTATTTACAAAATATGGCCAGGTTTAGGAGAACTGTTTGTACTCAAGCTTGCAATGCGAATTTTTTTCGAATTTTAGTTTTGAGAAAGATTTTCATGTTTGAGCTTTTTTATCTTTACACGAATTTACATTTTTTACTTTCCCTGTACTGTAATATAAATAAGTATTATTGGCTATTCGTGATTCAAAAATTTTCAGTATTTCATTTATTTATAGTTTTATTCAAATCTCTACATCTCATACCTTCAGCTTTATGTTTTGTTTTGATGCAAATATAGCTTCTCAATTATTTAATAGTAATTAAGGGATGGAAAACAGACAAAATATTTATCTTAATAAACTATAATGTGTGAAAAGTTAAAAATCTAGATTTTTAATCTACGTTCATTGATTTTCCCCTTATTGAGTTTTTAAGGTCAAACTAAATTTTCGCTTGTAGCGCGTCCCTTTCATATTAACCTATGCAATTTTTTACTTTTGTGACCCCCCCCCCTTAGAAATTCCTAGCTACGGGCCTGTGGTAAACAAAAACAGTAAAGGACTGGGAAATTCAATTCATCTTGCAGTAAACTTTTAAATTTACATTAAATTTTATTTTTGATGGAATTCTCTTGTGTCAAATTGTTCAGGAATTAGACTTCTAAGACGAATGTACATTGTAAAAATTACACTTTAAAACGATTTTATGCATAATTTCTAGTACCTTTTCATGCAAAGATGGCAATATCAGATTCACAACGGTACCAAGGGCATCCGTAGTACATTTGAATTTCCGAGCCGGGTCAACCCTGGTCTCAGTTTGTACTGTATCACCCGGACATTGGGTAAATAAGACAGACACTCAATAGGACTAGCCGGTGCAACAAGGTTGACGCGGTCAGACTTTAGGTTGAATTTGCTTTTACTAAAAGGTCAGAGGTGCGTAGTACGCTTAAAAACATTGATCTGATCATGTATGAGTAAAATATCTAACTGTGTTTATAATTTTGTAAACTGATAATTTTCAATTGGGTTCTCAACAAAAGTGACGAACGTATTTATACTGAAGAAAAAAAATATTAGGAATTATCAAAATTTAAAACTTTTAAACCTAAAAAAAAACGATAATAAATTCCAAATTATTGACCAGAAAAAGGTGTCATGGGTATCTTTATGAATCGGGCATTACCATATTTGCATCTAGGGTCAGGTTTCCAAGATATAGAAATTTTGAAAAATTTTTTGTCGAAAGAACTCGGTTCATTTTTCCTTATGCTTAGATCGGAGTGAGTTGACCCCCTGTTTAAGGAAAACCCGTGGTAATATTGAATTGATAGAAATGTGGTAAATGTTGCTAAAGTTTATCCGCAGTACAGTGTAATGATATACCTTGGTACTAAATTAGAAGAATTAACCTGTAGAAGGTTAGTTAGAAGGGTAGATAGATAATATAAAGATAGATAGATAGTGCGGATATATATCCAGTTTATACTTAATAATATTTAATAATGTTATATTATATTTTTAATCCATCTCTACAACTCATGATGTTCAAGATTTAATTTTTATGTCATGCATTTTTAGTTTTACTTAATCGACTTAAAAAAGTTTTTGCTTTTCATTAAAATATTTTAAAAAGTAAAAAAAATCATATTGTTGAGAAACTAACCAAAGCTATATTTATGAGTAAATATACTAAAAGCAAAGCGAAAAGTAGCTGCTCTTTAAAAATTTTATTAAACGCTTCTTTTTTTCATTTTCCGAAAACGTCCCATTTTCAATTAAAAAAAAATAATATATTTATCACGATGCTCAAAAATATCAAATAATTTAAAATTTTATGAACTTTACCTCAAAACAAACTCAAATTTTCTAATTTCTTAATCTTTGCAACCTGATGGCGAAAACTTTTAATATTTCATACTTAGATTATTTGATCCACCAGGATTAAAATTTATTTAATTTAAATGTATCAAAGGTATACTGATTTGGATTACAAGATATGGGTAAGAAAATTTGAGTTTGTTGCAAAAACTAAATTTCTTTGATATTTGTCCTATATCAATAAGCCGTTTTTAACCCTTGGTGCATTCGTTAAAAAACAAATTGAGACAAACAAGATATAAAAAGCAGTTGCGTTTAAACTGCTTTTTAAAATGCATTTAATTGTGTATTTACAATTTACAGAATAGAAAATAAAAGATGTGTCCGTGTACATGAGTTTTAAAAAATGTTCCACGACAACCCAACTTTCCTGTTAGAGAAAACTTTAACATTTTATTCGTATTACCGATATCATTTCCAAATTAAAACATTTTGTATAAAATTACGATCACAAATTAAGGAATACCAAATATTTGGGGATATCACCAACATTCCGTTCATAATTTCAAACAAAAGTTTTGTAATTTCGAAATACTTTCGGGTAAATTGGATATTACAAACAAAATTATAGGACTTCTTTTTACAGGAGGGGGGGGGGAGGAGTGCAGAAGTCCTCAATGGGTAATCACCGCCACCCAAACGTGTTTTGCGGCATGCACGCTCCTCAATTGGTAATCTCCACCTCCTCAATTGGTAATCAGACAAAAAAGTGTAACATTAAATCGTTTATTTCTAAGAAATAAGACCATATTGACCTCTGTTGGTGGCCCTATGGTGTAAAGCTTTCTTTATTGCTGCTCAGTTTCGGAAATAAATCTATAAATATGCCACATTACCAATTGAGGTGTTGGAGATTACCAATTGAGGAGCTTATGCCGCAAAACACATTTGTGTGGCGGTGATTACCCATTGAGGACTTCTGCACTCCCCCGGTGCTAACAGTCGTACCTTGATATTTTTTATATGGGGGAAGCTTAATTTCTAAAAACCGGTGTGAGCTGGTCTAAAACCAGTGTTAGCTGGTTTAAAACCATTGTTAGCTGGTCTAGAACCCAGTGTAAGCTGGTCTAAAACCAGACTTTGCTGGTTTAAAACCATTGTTAGCTGGTCTAGAACCCAGTGTAAGCTGGTCTAAAAACAGTGTAAGTGGATCTAAAACCCAGTGTAAGCGGGTCTAAAACCGGTGTTAGCTGGTCTGAAACTAGTATATGAGCTGGTCTAAACCATGATGTAAGCGGGTCTTAAACTGGAATGTGCTGGTGTAAAACCAGTGTTAGCTGGTTTAAAACCATTGTTAGCTGGTTTAAACCAGTGTTAGCTGGTCTAAAACCAGTGTTAGCTGGTTTGAAACCAATGAAAGCTGGTCTAAAACCCAGTGTAAGCGGGTCTAAAAACAGTGTAAGCGGATCTAAAACCCAGTGTAAGCGGGTCTAAAACGGTGTTAGCTGATCTGAAACTAGTAAATGAGCTGGTCTTAAACATGATGTAAGCGGGTCTTAAACTGGTATGAGATGACCTTTAACCGGTGTTAGCTGGTCTAAAACCAGTTTTTGCTGGTCTAAAACCAGTGTTTGCTGGTCTAAAACACGGTGTAAGTGAGTTTAAAACCGATGTTAGCTGGTCTTTATCCAGTGTGAGTTGGTTTAAAACTGGAGTGAGCTGGTCTGAAACCAGTGTGAGCTGTTATAAAACCGGTGTTAGCTGGCTTAAAACTGGCTTGAGTTGTTTTCAAACCGGTGTTAGCTGGCCTGAAACCAGTGTGAGCTGTTAAAAAACCGGTGTTAGCTGGCCTGAAACCAGTGTGAGCTGTTAAAAAACCGGTGTTAGCTGGCCTAAAACTGGCTTGAGTTGTTTTAAAACCGGTGTTAGCTGGTAAAAACGGAGTGAGCCGGTCTAAAACTGGAGTGAGCTGGTTTAAAACCGGTGAATTAGCTGGTGAACGATCATATTTCACTCGAACCTGTAGCAATGGTCCAGTTAAGTGCTTAGTGAGACATGCCAATAGTTCGCTACAAACTCCTGCACCTTGCCCAACTTTGTCTTGTTCGGTTCCTCGAACATCTCCCAAACCCACTTCCGAGCTCGATTAAATCTATATAAATACAAAGTAGAAATCTCTGTTTGCTTGTTTGTCCAATCATAACTCAGGAACCCCTGGACCAATTTGCATCAAAATTTGATTGGGAGACCCACAGATATTTTCTTGGGTTTAAAATTCTAAATTGAGTGAGTCAACTTTAAAAGGGAAACATATCTAAAATAGTAATTTACGACTAAGGGGGAACTAACTTTGACATCCACGGGCCACGCTGGGTTCCCGAGCTAGTCCACAATAAAAAAACAACATTCGATTCACCAAACTGAAATCCGATAAAGTCTTGGATAAAAAAAACATAAATTTCTTAGCTCTGTAAGTAAAGATAGCTAAGCTTCCAAATGTAGCAACGGATACTTGCCACCAAATCTATTTTTCTATTCCTTACATCTTTGTAACTTGATATGGTAAACCCTAGATATTTACAACTTTGGTCATTAGATCTAACAGCCAAATTTTAAATATTATGCCAGGTTGCAAAGATATATGAGTTATAAAACTAGAATTTGTGTCAAGTGTTTAGTTCCTTTTACTCCAATGTTTTTTACTTTAACCGATTTTATACAAACCCAATGGATATTTTCAGATTTCACTTTAAAAAACCTACAATTTTCCCACGTAATATGAAACAATCATAAGTATTCAAAAATTACGAACATTTATGTTTGAATGGACCCTCCATGCAAAAATGGCAACAGTACCCTTAACAGTGTTTTCTGATCAAGTACATGAAGTAGATATTGATGTTAATAAAACTGATATATTCAATTGCGGTTTCTCTATATAAGGACTTGCGCATTTCTACTGCAGGAAAACATATAAAAGCTATCATTATTCAACACTTTTCAACCTAGAAAAACGACAATATCTTCCATATTATTGATCAAAGAAAGCTGTCAAGGGTGCCGTTGTGCATTGGTCATTGTCATCTTTGCATTGGAGGGTCACTTGAAATTACGCTTACAGTCCCTTTAATCTAACTTTACAATTCCATTTCCATCGAGGTCCAAGGTTTATAAGTGTAGAAAAGATATTAATAGTTTCACCGACAAATGACTTAGCAGTTGACAGTTTCTACATACTTTATAACGGGTAATTATACCGTACACACAAGCAAACCTGGATATTTAGGTGTCTCAAAAACATATTTGAATACGTTTCTTTATTTTCTTTAAAGTCCCCCAAGTAGAATTTAGCTTTAAAAACCTCTAAAAATGCATTTGAGAAAGATGATAAGTTTGAAGTTGTCTAAAATTTGACATTTTATCATTAATATTTTGATCTGTCATTCAGAGTCCGTCGAAAAAAGCTTAAAAGACTTCATATACTTTAATACTTGAAATATATATGGCCCAAGAAAAAATAATATAAAATAGCAATAACGAAAAAACTGGTGAAAATGAGGTCCAAAGTTAAGACTAACTGACTTCTAACCAGTGGCCGAATTTAAAGAATTTGAGCGGCGGTTTGAATTTAAGCCGCGGTTTAAATATGGTTGGTTCCACTTAAAATTGTATCAAATGTTTCAAGATTTAAGCCGGCGCTTAATTTAAACCCGGTTTTGGCGGATTTAAACCGCGGCTCGAATTCTTTAAATTCGGCCACTGGACCCCTATTTATAATGTGTTTTGTAACCTAAGATTTGCCTTTAACATTTAGACTTAGCTTGAGACTTGAGGCCAAAATGACCCTAGCTACGGGAAAAGACAATATTATAATCTGAAGTCACTGACCTCCATTATGACAAGTGACTTTTTATGGATGTCAAAATAGAGGTCTGAATGGAGGTCATGGGAACCTCAGATCCCAAGAAAGTCTATATTTGTTCAGATGACTAAATATAGTCTCATCTTTTTAGGATGTAGAGAACGGAAAAAACATGGTTTTACTGTTGAAATAACAGTTTTTTAGACACCCTACTGGACTTTGGTTTAAGCTCAACCCAGCTCTTGTATCGATTTATTTCAATTGTTGATTCAATCGTATTAATGACGGGAAATCCCCGAGTAACAAACAAAAAAACGCAAACAACAAATAATTAAATCTCAGTTTTTAAAGAAAGATGAAGACCTAAAGAACCGAAATTTTCCTTGAGTATAACATAATGAGTCACGTTTTTAGAACAAAAACAATGACTTTTCTTGATTTGAGTTCTATCGTGACCTGGAAATGAAATTTTGATCTTTGAAAATTCCCAAATTGATGCAATCCTACCTACTCGGTCCGAATTCATCAACCTCCTCCTTCTCCTCCTCCTTGTTCCCAGGTAGAAATTGTTTCATTCTGAAAAATAATTTATTTCCCAAGTTACGACACTATTTTCCTGCCTCATCCTGACTCGAATACTTTATTGTCCTAAAAAATGATCCCAATCGACCACTTAAAGTGTTCTAGTTCTGACCATGGATTTCAAAGCATCAATGTCCCAATTTGTATGATTTCTTATATTTAACCCGTAAACAGACTGAGGGGGGGGGGCGTTTGGCGCCCTCCCCCCCTGTAGTTTTTTTGTCCTTGCACTCTCATTTTTGACACTATCACTGTGAAATTTTGTGACTTTTAATGAACTAAGGATTTTTTGTTAAAAATGTATTTTTTGTTATTTATAGGGTAGGGTTTAGGGTGGAAAAAAGTCTGGTCTTCTGTGAAAAAAAAAAATCAAAAATAGCTCATAATTTTTTTTTGACTAAAGTTATAGATCTTTAATCTATATAGTTTTGAAAAGCCCTTGAAAAATGCATATAGAAACATGTGTCACACTTTAAAATTTGTTTAAAACAAAAAAAATATTTTTACATTTTTTTACCCTTTTTAAGGCATTTTTTCCACCCTCCCTAGCCCCCAAACTATCAAAGTTATCAGTCTAATTTTTTTTCTTTGAGCTGCCATAAAAAATTGGGCTATGAACATGCATTTCAACCCTATACCTATTCTCTAAGGCCTTTTTCTAGAGGGGGGGGGGGCGCCAAACGCCCCCAGGCTATATATACATAGATTCAGACCCCCCAGCCTATATAGGGCTAAAACACCAGTGACATAAAAATACCTATGCACCTGGTTAGTGGATGTGGTCTTATATGACGTGAAATATATTTACCGGTAGAAAGCGTACATGCAACATGGCTCAAGATGGAGATCATCTAAACAATATAAGAGTTATACTTATTATTTTATTGAAAATTTATAATTTTTATTCGTTCTTACCTAGTCCCCAATATGCTAATTCCTCGGCAAAGGCTTGAACACAAACACCCTCCATCATATGGAGTTGTCCAGTCCGGTACAGGTTTAGAATCGATTCAAAATGGCGCGGAGATCTAAACAAAATGGCGCGTAATTACATCAAGATGGAGTTTATTTTGGGTTAAAATTGAAATTATTGCCAAGAATCCGATCAATACTTTAGATTATTAAACATATAAATCTTATAAAGTAAAATAAATATATAAGGATTACCTATCAAAAAAGAATTCACAATCAGTTAAAATGTATCTATCACAGATTTCTAGCATCTCTGTATGGGAGCTGCAGCTATACAGACGACCCAATCTTCAGATAAAACGAACATTTAAATGTTGTCCAACAGAATTTTCATATTAACAAATCTAGCTTTTAATCCATGAATTCTCAGACATTTTATAATATTAAAGTGACCTGTTCGATTTACTGCACTTTTACATAGAAAGAACGTTTAATGTTAAAAAATGGAAGAAAAATTTAAGTGTTAGTTTTGTTCCTTGAAGTTGGATACTGCCCCAGAGTATTCCAGAGTATTTCAAACCTCTTCCCTCCAACATTGAGGTAAACTGTAGCATCCTCATCCATATTTTGTTCCAGGTTTAGTTGGTTACTCTCTAGACAATACAGGTTTAGTTGGTTACTCCTTAAACAATACAGGTTTAGTTGGTTACTCCTTACACAATACAGGTTTAGTTGGTTACTCTCTACACAATACAGGTTTAGTTGGTTACTCCTTACACAATACAGGTTTAGTTGGTTACTCCCTACACAATACAGGTTTAGTTGGTCACTCTCTACACAATACAGGTTTAGTTGGTTACTCCCTACAACCTACAGGTTTAGTTGGTTACTCTCTACACAATACAGGTTTAGTTGGATACTCCCTACACAATACAGATTTATTTGGTTACTCTCTACACAATACAGGTTTAGTTGGTTACTTCCTACAACCTACAGGTTTAGTTGGTTACTCTCTAGACACTACAGGTTTAGTTGGTTACTCCTTACACAATACTGGTTTATTTGGTTACTCTCTACACAATACAGGTTTAGTTGGTTACTCCCTAAAAAAGACGGTTTAGTTGGTTACTTCCTACACAATACAGGTTTAGTTGGTTACTCCTTACACAATACAGGTTTAGTCATGGTTACTCCATACACAATACAGGTTTAGTTGGTTACTCCCTAAACAATGTTGATTACCCCCTAAAAAACAAGATATTTTTGGCTACTACCAAAATAAAATTCAAATCAAAATTTAGTTATACTTAAACTACTTTACAGTTAGAAGTTAAGATTAAGAACATCAGATAAGGAATGTAAATCTGATAAAAATCTGATAACTTTTTCTCTCACATTTTTTTCCTCTTGAGACTTACCTGAGTCAGGTTTGGTTTGGTCCAAGAATTTACTCCGCTGACTCTGAGATGATCCGCTCCGACCCATTTCAAGAACTGGAATTGGACTTACAACATTCTAGACTCATCATTCAAAAGCTCAGACAAAAATTAAAAAATATAAGGATAAAGTGACTGTGAACTAAAATATGAAAATTTGTTTTTATAGAAAATTTCTTGCGCATTACGCGTAAATTCTTAAGCTGGAAAACCACAGATGTCTCCCTCATTGTTTCTTAGATAAAGACGTTCTTCTGAGGTTATCGTATTTAATCGGATTTGTTACTCTTTCATTAAAAGAGTCAATTGTAATTACACTTACATTCCCAAAGGTGCTTTGATGCTTATGAATTTTCCTGTTTTTGAGCATTATTCTTTGGATAGAGATCATTGTAGACCTTATCAGCACTCTGCCAGGTGTTCTGTTTATTTGGTCCAGAAATATGTTTAAAGTAATTAATATTATTCTGTAAACTTTCTACTAGCTCGGCTCGGAAACTGTGTGTCGAAGGGAATCCTTTAGGAGTCCTAAAAGTATTATAAAATTAATGAATGGTTGAAATAATTGCAAGGATAGCTAGAGAGGGGCATAGTTTTTTAAACGAACGAAATTTTTGAGAACGAACGAATGAATTCTTTGTTAAAAACCAAACCATAGACGAACGAAAGGGGTCGTTTAGAGAAATGAAAAAATAGCGTTTTTTAAAAACGAACGAAAATTTTTTTTTAATTGTTCGAACAAACTTGAAAAAGCAATAGTTTTTTTACTGGAACAACAACTTTTCCAAACGATTTTGAAAAAAAACGATTGAAATTTTTTCTAAACGAACGATTTTTAAAACAAATTTTTCAAAAAACGATTGTTTTTGACTGAATTATCGTTTTTTTCGAAATTTGTTTGAAAAAACTATCGTTATTTTACTGAACAAACGATTTTACTGAATGATCAAAATGAATTTTTTTGTACGATTTACAAAAAAAAGATCGAAATTGGTCTTTTAGAAATGTTTAACGAACAAATTGAAAAAAGTCAAACGTGCCCATCTCTACATACAACTAACGAACGTGCCAATCTGTACATAAAACTAACGAACGTGCCCATCTCTACATTCAACTAACGAACGTGCCCATCTCTACGTACAACTGACGAACGTGCCCATCTCTACATACAACTAACGAACATGCCCCTCTACATGCAACTAACGAACGTCTCAGAGTTTTAGAGAAACTTGTATTTACATATCCTGCATACAAAATAAAACATTGATATTGTAAATGGTCTAAAATTGCATCAATTAGCTTGGTGTGTTAAAAAATTAGGATCTGAAAAGTTTTTCAGATTTTAAAATTGTTATTCTAAAGATTTGCTTGCCTTTCACTATGCCAAATTTTGATAGCGTGCAAAATATATGCAAAATAGAACCAACAACTTTAGTTTTTCTCTTATATTCTCTATTATAATAAAATTATTTCAAAGTTTGATAAAAGAATACAGAAAACAGTTTTGAATGTTGGAAGTTCAACGCACTTGTCGGGTGCCTTTTTATGCCCTTTTTTCTTTAGAAAGGAAAAAAGCTAAATTGTTTGAAGTTGTCGAATTTAGACCATCTATATATAAATTTGGCTTGTCTGTTTGTCTGTCTGGCTGTCTGTTTGTATCCAATAAACGTCAAAACGGCTGAACCGATCGGGCCCAAATTTTTTGTGGGACATCTAGGGACTCCAGGGAAGGTTTATGAATCATCAAAATTTTAAATATTTATTTAAATTTAAATTCGATCATCATTAAATTTTTTTTAATTTTGAAAATCCGCGAAATTTTTCGTGAAAATCCGCGAATTATTTTTGTTTTGTTTTACGATGTACACAAAGAGAACATGTTCACAATTAATTTAGGAGATGGGCGCGAAGCGCCCTCTAAGGCTAGAAAGAAGGGCGCGAAGCGCCTTGAATTTCTAGTATTGGTTAGATTACTTGCATAAATTCGTAGAAATATCAAAAACTTTGGAGGATTTTCTTCCGTTTTAAACCTGGAAGTCACGAATAATTGAGGCAACTTTTTAGAGCATAGTTCATAGAATATAATGTTAAACATATATATCGAGTTTCTGCACGCTTTGCATCAGTTTTTCTAAATAATTTATTACCGTACCGTACTGTACTGTACTGTACTGTACTGTACTGTACTGTACTGTACTGTACTGTACTGTACTGTACTGTACTTTGTACTGTACTGTAATGTACTGTACTGTACTGTACCTGAGCGTTGTGTTGATATCCATGGATTGACTGTGTCTGATATTAGGTGAGGAGTAGGTTCGAACCTGAGTTATCCTACCACCACCTTCTTCTTTACTCACTGATGATCCAACAGCATGTAAAAACTAAACAAAATAATACTTGACTTCTCTTTTACACCTGTTATTTTATAATCCTTATATTATTGCAACCTGATGGTGTAAATCTTTGATATTTCAAACAATGAATTTGCTACATCAAAGTTCAAAAAGTTTTTTTTCTAAAATTGTTATCTAAGTTTCCTTATTATGTTAATTATGGCCGGTAGCTGTTTTCAATCAATTTATGAATTAGATGGAAACCTACTCAGTCTGATCTTAAGTTTATATACAGAAACATTGCTACCATAAGTTAGCATTAAGCATTAACCCCCGCTTTTTTCTAATTGGTTCGAAAATTTGCCCTATGAGATCGAGATCGGTATATTTACAAATTCGATCAATCAAGATAACAAGGGAGAAAACTCAAGTTCCAATTCTAAAGATTTAATTAAGATTTTAATTAAGGAAAGGTCTGTTCACGTGATTAGAAGTGATTCTTTTATCAAAAAGTGACATGTCAGAACCACAATGGCACCCCTTAAAGGGAGTGTTCGCGAAAAATGAAAGGGGGTATAGGCTTACGGCGAAAAAAAAGCGTTTTTGATTGCCACTAATCTGTCTGTTGCGTCTATAAGGAGAAAATTGTTAAAAACGACTCATACTGAAGAACGTATCATCTATAATACAAATTCAGAAAGTTGCAACATTCAACTCGGATTGTAAAAAAATCAATTTAATTACAAACAAATCATTCAGATATTATAAACAATAGACATCGATAATTTTTTGTTGCAACTTTCTGAATTTGTATGGACGCTAAGTTCATCGGTATGAGTCGTTTTTAACAATTTTCTCCTTATAGAAGCAAGAGATAGAAGTAAGATTAGTAGCGAACAAAAGTGCTTATTTTTAGCCGCAAGCTTATACCCCCTTTCATTTTTCGCGAACACCCCCTTAATAATCCTATCTTAGCAATGATTACGAAGTACTTATATTCTTCCTCTATTCTTTAATGTACTTGTAGCATATATCCGCACCTTACTTTTATATAGAAACCAAAATTGAATTGTATCAATTTTCCGAGAGAAAAAGAAGGATATCTTAGTCATCCTTGAAAAACAAATGTTTAAAGGGTCTCGTTGTGAATAGTTTAATTTAATTCAATACTTTTTAATTCATTTTAATTTAATACGAAAATAGAAAAAACAAACTTTTTTATTCTTATTTTGAAATTATTCACAAAATAAACATAAATCAAACTTTAAATCAATTTCAAGTAATTAAAAGTTGTTTGGGCAGAATCATTATAAATGGCTGAGCTAAACATTGTTTGCTTTCAACAACAGAACTAAACAATATTATTAATGGTAATAATATATCAATTATTCAAACCCAAATACCTATTTATCTGCACGCAAACAAATATGGTGAAACAATTTTTTAACAATATTATTTTTGTTTGTTTTTATTTTCACCAGTTGTATTCATGACTCAGAGAAATCCCCTCGCAGCGGACTTTCATCGGTAAACCTAATTCAAGGGGAGTTAAAGGGAGTGACCAGCTATGTAAGGTAGTTGAACTGAGTATGCAGTGTTGGGGAAAACTTCTTTCGGATTCATTTGAGACATATAAAACATTTTAAAGATCTGTAAATCCTGAGTTTGAATTTTTCCACAACACTGCATACTCAGTTCAACTACCTTAAATAGCCGGTCACTCCCTTTAAAGGAACTTTTCATTGACAGGTTTCCCTTTTAACAATTTCCCTTTCCCCTTTTATTCATAAATATGTTTATCATTATTTTTCTATTAACAAACCTGCAGAGGGAGCAAGGGCTTTATGTTTTAAAATCTTGACATAAAAATTATTTGATAAAAAATGAAGTAAAAAGTTGAACAAAAATAATAAAGTCAAAGTCTAAATCAAATCTTGAAAACTATTGGCTTAAATATAAAACAAAAATTTAAAGGTTAAGTTTGAGAAAAGATTAAAAAAATGTTTATAATATAGTAAAGAATTTAAAGGTTATAAGTTTGAGAAAAGATAAAAAACTGTTTATAATATATAAAATATAATTTATATATAATATATTAAAGAATTTAAAAATAAAAACAAAAACCCTATTCTCAAGATAAAAAAAAATCTATTTACGAAATGACAAAGTTTAAACAAAAAAGAAAGTTTTAAAATTTAAACAGTTTGTATAAAAAGAAGAATGCACAAATCTAGGATTTGGCAATGTTCCGTTAACAAACAGCACCTTTTTATACGTTACTGTTCCGTTAACAAACAGCACCTTTTTAAACGTTAATGTTCCGTTAACAAACAGCACCTTTTTAAACGTTAATGAACGGAATTCTATCTAAAAAATAATGACATGAAATTACAATGACAGCAAAATCTTAAATACCCGTGCTTAAATGATTTTTCAACTTATGTTGCCAGAGGGAAATTTTTTTGATTGGATATTCAGCTAAGCATGGAAAATCTAATGCTTAGCCTTAGACTTTAATACAAATACTAGCTGAAATGGCCGGACTTGCCCTAGGATTTTTTAAGCCTATATCAACCCCTTGGTACCCGTGGATATCCACAAAAAGTTTCAACCAATTTGGTCCAGCCGTTTAGCCGGCAATAGATAATATATAAATGAGCAAAGCTTAATCTTTGCTTACCCTATCGGGTCCAAATTGTGCGTGTCGAGCGCCCTAAAAGCCTAATTATAAATATTAACCTTTGGTTCATCTGTAGATTGATATTCTAGAGAAGGTGAGGAGGGAAAAGGTCCGACTAGAGACTGTTTAGATCCAGGAACAGGTTCTCCTGGTTCTCCTGGTTCCCCTGTTTCCCCAGGTTCTCCAGGTTCTGATATCCTAGACTCCAGGCCAGGTTCCCAGCTAAGTTCCCCTCTATCCTTGATACCAGGTTCTAGACCAGGCTCCCATAAATTCTCATCAGACATACGCAGAATATCATGGGACCTGGACCCTAGAAATAGGATATCATGGGACCTGGGGCCTAGAAATAGGATATCTTGGGCCCTGGACCCTAGAAATATGATATTAAAAGACCTGGTCACTAGAAATAGGATACTAAGGGACCTGGACCCTAGAAATAGAATATCATGAGACCTCGACCATAAAAATAGGATATCATGGGACCTGGACCATATAAATATAATATCAAGGGACCTGGACCCTAGAAATATGATATCTTGGGACCTGGACCCTAGAAATAGGATATCATGGGACCTAAACCCTAGAAATATAATATTATGGGACCTGGACCTTAGAAATAGGATAAATTGGGACCTGGACCCTTGAAATAGGGTATCATGGGACCTAAACCCTAGAATTATAATATCATGGGACCTGGACCTTAGAAATAGGATATAATGGGACCTGGACCAAAGAAACATTATATCCTGGGACCTGGACCCTAGAAATAAATTATCATGGGACCCGGGCCCTAGAAATAGGATATCAAGGGACCTGGACCCTAGTAATAGGATACTAAGGGACCTGGACCCTAGAAAAAGGATATCATGGAACCTGAACCCAAGAAATAGAATATTATGAGCCTGGACCCTAAAAATGGATATTGAGGGACCTAGAACCTAGAAATAGAATATCATGGGACTGGGACCCTAGAAATAGGATATCATGGGACCTGGACCTTTGAAAAAGGAAATCATGGGACCTGGACCCTAGAAATAGGATATCAATGGGACTTGGACCCTCAAAATAGGATATCATGGGATCTGAACCCTAGAAAAAGGATATCTTGGAACTTTAAATTGGATATCTAAGGACCTGGACACTAGAAATTGACAATCCAGGGAACTGGACCCTAGAAATTGAACATCATGAGAACTAGCTAGGTTCTATTAATTGAATATCATGAAACCTAGCTAAGCCCTATAAATTGAAGATCATAAGACCTAGCAAGGCCCTATAAACTGAATATCATGAGACCTAGCTAGGGCCTATAAATTGAATATCATGAGACCTGTAGTAAATGCCCTACTCCATAACAGTTTCTGGGAACGTATCCATCCAGATACAACTCAGATTCTCTTGACTATAAATGTCAACAACGGCTACAATCCCGTGAACCATCAATGCCACTACCACTGGGCGCGATCTTGTTAGCTATCAATATAAACCGGACACTAGCAAATCGTCGATCAAGCCAAATCTCAAGTCAATGATCTCAATCCGTATTTTTCAATAAAACCAAATTACTCTCAAAACTGTAATTAAAAGGTATTTTCTTTATCAACTACTGTATTTGAGTTTAATATGTTACAAGTTAAAGCTAATAGAGGTAATTCCAATTCGAACATCGTTATCTATATCACATGATTAAGGCAATCATATTACGTATTATAGCACAGTTGAAATAGGCGCAGATGTACCTCATTATATTTATATATCAAGGGATTAAGCTAATCCTGCTATGTATTTATTTGAAATGCAGTTCAAATTAATAATGGGTTTTACGTAGAACTTTACAAACATAGATCGTTAATAATGTACAACGTACTGCAGGTTTACAGAATATTTATTACAGACCTAGCTAGCCACTAGAAATTGAATATGATGAGACCAAGCTAGGCCCTAGCTAAAATGGATAAAATGAGGAAAATGTGAAATAAATCTTTCATGAAACATTTCTCTTGATTTGAAATAATATCTAATAAACCTGGAATTAGCTTGAACTTGAAACCAGATATTTCTTTGCAAGGTTGAATCTAAAGCTTTATGATTTTCTCTTATCATAACTTTCTCCATGTTGATTATATTACTAGGCAGGAAAGAAAGCTAGGAAGGAAGGATTAACAGGCATGAAGGATTACTAAGCAGGAAGGATTAAAAGACATGAAGGATTACTAAGCAGGAAGGATAATTAGGCAGGAAGAAAAAAATAGTTACGGATTATATTTGTATACCACACATAAAGAAAAAATTTTAATGACATTTTATCGCGGGAATTAGTAGGCAGGAAGGATTTACTAGGCAGGGCGGATTCCTAGGCATAAAGAATTACTAGGCAGGATGGATTGACTAGGCAGGAAGGATTGACTAATCTGATAACTAGTCAGGAAGGACTACTAGGCAGGAAGGATTACTAGGCAGGAAGGATTACTAGGCAGGCAGGATTAACTAGGCAGGAAGTTTTAATAGGCAGGAAGGTTTACATGGCAAGAAGGATTACTACGCAAGAAGGATTACAAGGCAGGAAGGATTACTAGGTAGGAAGGATTGACTGGGCAGAAAGAATTAACAGGCAGGAAGGATACAGTAGGCAGGAATGATTACTAAGCTGGATAAATTAGAAGGCAGGAAGGATTGCTACTCAGGAAAAATTACTAGGCAGGATATTATAAAGAAAGGATTACTAGGCAGGAAGGATTCTAGGCAGGAAGGAATACTGGGCAGGAAGGATTGACTAGGCAGTAAGGATTAATAGGCATGATGGATTGACTAGGCAGGAAGAATTAGTAAGCAGGAAGAATTACTAGGAAGAAGGATTACTGGGAAGGAAGGATTGCTAGGCAGGAAGCATTACTAGGCAGGAAGCATTACTAGGCAGGAAGGATTGCTAGGCTGGAAGGATTGACCAGGCAGGAAGGATTGACTAGGCAGGAAGGATTGGCTAAACAGGAAGGATTACTAAGCAGGAAGGATTACTAGACAGAAGGATTACTATGCAGGAAGGATTACTAGGCAGGAAGGATTGACTAGGCAGTAAAGATTATTAGTCAGGAGGTATTTCTAGGCGGGAAGGATTACTCGGAAGGAAGGATTACTATGCAGGAAGGATTGCTAGGCAGGAAGGATTACTAGGCAGGAAGGATTGCTAGGCAGGAAGGATTGACTACTGAGATTACTTGACAGGAAGGACTACTAGGCAGTAAGGATTACTAGGCAGGAATAATTCCTGCGCTCTACTATTCTTAGGTCTAAGAAGCCCTTAGGCAGCTGGAATCTTGGAAGCCCTCTTCTCTGAATGAATTAAGCGTGGACGGGTGATTCATGCTGCCAGATTACAACCCCTGGTAGATCAATACAAACCCCCAACAATACCAAACTTTCACAATAGAAAAATAGTCTTTTTTCAAATTCACTCTTGATGTAATTGAACGCATCACTAAGTTTACCAGTAGGAAATAGAAGTTTGCCAAGGAATTTCTGCTCTTCTTGAAATATATTTGGAATTTCAGTTTCACCAATAGTAAAGTTTATTCTGCTAGGTAAACCTGATCTGATGGAAAATGATCTACATTTTGCTGGTTTTAATCTCATTCCCATACTTTCAATCTTGGATTTTATTTCATTTTGAATTTTTTGATGTTTTCTCAGATCTGTTGTTATCAGGCAAAAATCGTCAGCATATGGCAGAGCAATAATTTTCTCTTCATTCAGATTAAATCCACAATCATTCTTACTCTGTAGAAATTCAATGATTGGATTGAAAACCATCAGAAATATGATGGGACTAAGCGGGTCACCTTGAAATACTCCTCTTTTAAAGGGGAATCCATCAGTAGAGAAGTTGTCCGTAAATACACGTGAAAGTTGGTTATTATACAGGGTGTTGATATAAAGCTGAATTTCTGCAGGAACATTAAACCTTTTGAGGGTACGTATTATGAGAGGGTGCGGCACTGAACCAAATGCATCTTCTAAATCGAAAAATATCACATGGACCGTTTTCTTGTTTGTCTTTGCTTGGCTTATAATCTCTTCAAGGACGACATTATGCTCAATAGTGCCGTTAATGCCCGGCAGAAAGGTCTTCTGTACTTTCTCATCAATATAATTATTCGCAGTTAAAAACTTGGTCAGTTTTTTTGCAAGAAGGAGATGGTAAGTCTTTGCAATAGAAGATGTAAGAGATATCATGCGAAAGTTTCCTGGGTCGTTAGTCGGTCCTTTCCTGTGTAGTAATTTGACCGTACACTGTTTGACCAGGAAGGGGGAGGAGATCCCAGAACATTCACTTTATTAAACAGGGTGGCTAATATGTGGTGAAGACACTTGAATTTAAATAATATCTCATACGGGATACCATCAGGACCTGGAGAGGATTTTAAATTTACACTTTTTAGTATATTTTTTACATCCTTTGGACGTAGAGTTACTTTTCATCCAAGGGATTACCTTTCTTTTGAGAGATTACCTTTCCCTCAAGGGCTTAGATTTTAATCAAGGGATTAACTTTCATTTAAGGGATAACCTTTCATTCAAGGGATTACTTTTCATTCAAGGGATTACTTTTCATTCAAGAAATTACTTTTATTCAAGAAATTACCTTCTTATTAGAAATTACCTTTCATTCAAGAGATTACCTTTCATTCAAGGGATTAGATTATAATCAAGAGATTACCTTTCATTTAAGGGGTGGAGAAAGGAGAAAAACGAATGAACATTTGAAATTATTAACTATGCCTCGTACCATTTTATTTTACAAAAATAAAACAAATAAATACATTGTTAAAAAAGGGATTACCTTTTTATTCAAGGGATTACTTTATATTTAAGGGATTACTTTTCATTTAAGGGATTACCTTTCATTCAAAAGATTACCTTTCATTTAAGGGATTACCTTTCATTCAAAAGATTACCTTTCATTCTTGCATTCAAGAAATTATCTTTTATCAAAGGGATTTCCTTTTATTTAAGGGATTAAGGTTAAAAATTACCTTTCTGAATAGCTGGAGGTTTTCCTTTCCGTTTGTTGTTTAATATTTCTGATCCTGACATCAGATCAAATATATTTCTTGAAATCATATCCTCCACCTAATCAAAGTGTTGTTAATCGTTTTCTTTCGTTTTTAAAAAACTTTTAGCGAAGCTTCCTAGACCCCAGTCAACAAATATATATTTTTGAAGTTTGAAATTTGAAATAAGAAAGGTCTACGACATCGGATTGAACAGATATAGGATTTTAAAAGATCAGAGTGTGTGGCAAAAATTCAGTTCATTATTTGTGAGAAAGTGCGGCACCGCGCCATATACATAAGCCTTGTATTTTTTAATCAAAGATTCTTTTTAGCTTTTACAAAAAAAACTAGAATAGAATACGATTTGAATAAATGTAAACTCCTAGTGACACTTACCTACAATATTATTTATTCATAATGAAGGCTATGAATTATTCTGATAAAATTAAGGTCTAAGGGGCTTTCTTTTCTACAAATGATTTAGTATTAATATGCACCTGTAGCAAAATATTCGGCAGATTTTTATTAATTGGTGCTATTATAAGGATAAAACTATAGAGCACTTTCTTGACAAAATTCTTACACTAGTTTAAAAAAAATAGAAATTAAAGAAGAGAAAAAAATTCTTATGTTCAAATAAATTTTTCCTAGCGATAGTTATTTTAGGATAATTTAAAATAAAAAATATATATCTGTATGTGTATCAAAATATTCATCTTTAAATACTGAAATTAACATTTTTTTGCCTTCAATCAAAAATGTTATAAAATCAAGGACAAACAAAGGAACAATTTTCAACGAGGGGCATTTTTTTAATATCCAAATCAAAATGTTAATATTATTTTTTTATTATTTGTAAATTCGTAAGTTTCGAATTTTTCATATTTTTAATGATGTTTCTTGTTGGCTAACGTATGTTTTTTTTGCAGGAGCACTAAAATTAAGACATTTTTATGATTAAATTGATTCCATTATTTGAATTTTAGAAGCAATAAAAATAATAGCAATAAGGATAAAAATGGCTACCTGTGAGATTCGACTCATAATATTCTTATTCTGATTCTGCAAGTTCTCAAATCTCAGTTTAGTATCCAGCACCTTAACATTCAAAATTAAAGTTAAAATTAAATTCTAGAAAAAAAGTTCTTAGAAAAGTTGGCTTTAAATTTATATTGAGTCTTAGCCACAAACTCTGATTTTCTAATCGCTTTATCTTTGCAATTCAATCTTATAGACTTTAGATACTTAAAACTATGAATTCTGTTAGATCAATTAGTCTAGGTTTGAAAATTACGTCTTTACATCGTCAGGTTGCAAAGAAATAGGGATTAGAAAATCAGAGTTTGTTGCAAAAACTCTCAATTTAAAACGATACATGTTACGGTATCCCTCTTTACAGATTTACTAACAATGAATTTTCAGATGAAAAAAGTCATTGTTACGAAGACAAAGGTTTAAAAAGTACCGTTGTGAATTGAACATTCTAATCTATACATTGAAATTCATCTGAAATTCCGTACTACAATTTTAAGTGAAAAATTCCCACATGGGGAATTATATCATTGCATTTTTAAGTGTGCTTTTCGATGTTTTGTTTATTGCAAAAAGTATGCGGCCTTGATCGAAATCGACGCATCAAAAAAAAGCTTAAAAGATCACATTGACTTTGTTCAAGTCGAATTGTGTATTCAGAAGTTAACTAAATTAATGCATTTGTTTGCCTTTTATCGTTCTAATATCTATATTTAATTTTCCTACTGTTCAAACAAAGCCAACCTCCCCCTTCCCACCTCCCCCTC